CACACACACACACACACACACACACACACACACACACACACACACACACACACACACACACACACACACATAAACATGTTTTAAACATGTTTTAAACATGTTTTCAAGTCCCATCTAAGATTTAATTAGTAATAATAGATTATTTTGTACATTTCACGACATATGATGTCATGGAGTAAATTAAAAATGGGAGAAATGAACAGTATGTAGGCAGGAAAAATGTATAAAAAATGTGACCCATATAGGATTTTAAAGGCAAGTAATTTCCACAGATGGAGATGCAACCTCGGCCAAAACTATATGACTTCCATGGAGTCTCCATGACCAAGATTTTCACTGACAACTGGGATAACATACAGAACTTCAAAGCAAGACCAGATGATATTGTCATTGCTACTTACCCTAAAGCAGGTACTGATGTGTTATTTAATCATGTGTAGCTTATGTAATCATAATACATTTTTTTCATAAACAATTTCCTGTTGGTGTCTGAGTTGATAGGTTTACAGCTTAACAACATTTATTCATTTCAACTGCAGGAACCACGTGGGTCTCTTACATCCTAGATCTTCTGTATTTTGGGCACATGGGTCCAGACCGTCAGACATCCCTCCCTCTTCATGAACGAGTGCCCTTCCTGGAGCTCTGCGTACCACCTATGCTTATAGGTTGAACTATGTTGCCACTCTGAATTTAAAATACACCAGAATAAAAAGCGCTAGGTACCAAGTTTATGTCCGTGTACTCAGTTCATTCAGATGATTATTGCAAGTCACCAGTTTCTAGAAACTGTGCTGAAAACAGGTTCAACCTGTTGCATTGTGTTTGTTTGCATACATCTTTCTCTGCCAAATGCTGAAAAGGACGCTACAAAATGTAAAAGCTCCTAAAATGTAAAAGCTCCTAAAATGTAGCAGTTTTATTAGTGTGTAAATGTGTTAGGTGAATCAGAACATCTCAGAAACACCTTAGAATTTTTTAGGCAATCGGTTTTATTGTTCTATGGTATCTAAATAAGTCTAATGTTGCATGTTATCAATCGCAAACTAATCCTTCTTATCACTCAGGTGCAGAAATGGCAGACAAACTTCCCACCACTCCTCGTCTCATTAAGAGTCATCTACCAGTCCAGTTTATGCCCAAGTCGTTCTGGGAGCAGGGCAGCAGGGTAAAAGCCATGCACAAACACCCACAGCCAGCAGTGGAGATTTATGCAAAAAGACTCAGGACGCCCTTCCAACTAAGCATTTATCACTGTTATTTTATAAATTATGTTATAAGTAATGTGACACCAATAAAAGAGTCGCACACTCAGCTCAGTCACATCATAGCCAGAAGAGCTGGAAACACCAGGTTACTCTGCCAGTGGAGAAAACTGGGTTTTAGTGTCAGAGAAAGCAAAAAAAAAAAAAATGGTGTGATGCTGCTGGGACTCTCCCCCATAGTTGAGGCTAAGTTAGCATCATTTAGTTATTTTGGATTATATTTTATTTATATTTGATTTTATATGAATAGCTTCGATTGTTGTCATTAGGTTTTGTCAAATTTAATGATTCAAGCTGTAGTAGGAATGAATGGAGCGAAGTGGGGGAACGTTAGAGAGGTCAGATCGATCTTACTCTCTCTGCTGAATTGCCACTGCTTTAGTTTAAAGTTTGTCACCCCTGTGAGTGCTCCCACTGACTTGGGGCCCCAAACAGCTGCTTGCCTTGCCTGGAAGCCATTGAAATTTGCAATTCATGAAACCCTGAGATTATTGTGTTGTCTCTTTCTGTAGATAGTATATGTGGCCCGCAATCCAAAGGACAATGCAGTGTCCTTTTACCACTTTAATCGGATGAACAATGCTCAGCCAGAAGCAGGAGAATGGAGCACCTTTCTGCAGGATTTCATGGAAGGAAAGAGTGAGTTCAGTTTAGTTTTAATGTAAAAGAATCACAATGCGATCTAATTTCCTGTCTGTATACTTACTAATATTACTTTGTGTATTGTTCTGTGGCCTCAGGGGTTTTCGGATCATGGTATGACCATGTGAACAGCTGGTGGGAGAAGAAGCAAAGTTATTCAAATCTTCACTACATGTTCTATGAAGATTTGATTGAGGTGCGGTGAGTTGGGCTAACATGTGTAACATTTGTTCTTCATGTTTAAAATTGTCTTGACTCTTTCCATTTACATGTTTTAATTGTTCATATCTCTTAGAGGATATGTTTAAAAGCCTTCAATAATGTTTCTAGTTAGAAATGTAGTGGTTTGAAAAAACAAAACACAACAGGTGCTATCTGTAAAGACGCCAAGCCGAGACACGCTGAACTCTGTTCCTGGAAGGAGTTAGATGATAACAGAAGCAGGAAACTAGTTGGCACACCTTGTGCGTGTCACAAATTTGTCACTGAGTGCTTTTAAATAAAACCGCATGATCCATTTTTTTGATGTTACATGAGAAAAATTATCTTTAGACGACAAAAGTCAAAAAAATAGAACAAGGAGCTACAACAGACTCTGAAAGATCAGCTGCATCCACTTTAATTTCAATTCAATTTTATTTATACAGCACAAAATCACAACTACAGTTTCCTCAAGGTGCTGTTATTGTAGTACCCAGCTATTTGAATAAGCGTACATCCATCACTGCACTCATGCACTGCTTCAAAGAAACTGTTTTAGTTGTGTCTGAAGTTTGAGGCTGTGTTTCTTCCATTAGTGTGAATGACAGAAAATAAGAGCTTTTTGTTAAGTGGAAATGCACACAAAAGATGTAACAGTATTTCCTGTACAAGTAGTAGCATGAATCAAACTTATTAAAGCAGTAGATAAGAAGTGTATATTTGGGCCATCACTGTATCAGTCTTCTCATGTTACTCCCTGAAGAGGATGCAAGTAAATATCTTTTCCACAAAGACACCAATGACTTCTTTTAATTCAGAATGACTCTCTATAAATAACAGATTTATTTTTTCTTTTCTTAAACACCAAATCCACAGTGATGAATATAGAACTATAGACCCGAAGGACGAAAACAATCGTTGGGGTTCCTTTAAGAGTAAGAAATATTTTCAATATTTTTGTGAACAGGACTGTGGACAGGAAATAGACCGACTGTGTTCCTTCCTTGGTATTTCTGCTTCAGCTGAAGAGAAGGAAAGAGTCATAACCAGTGTGGCGTTTGACAGCATGAAGCAAAACAAGATGACCAACTATTCCACAGTTCCAGTGATGAACCAAGAGGTGTCTCCTTTCATGAGAAAAGGTACAACTGCAACATTTTTTTCTTTATATGTATATCAGTGTGTGCTCCATTTTTCATTAGTTTAATCAAATTTATTTATTTATTCTAAATATTTTCCTTTCTCCAGGGAAAGTTGGTGACTGGAAGAATCACTTCACTGTGGCCCAGAATGAGCAGTTTGATGAAGACTACAAGAAGAAGATGAAGTATCCTGATTTAAAGTTTCGCTTTGAAATTTAGAGTCCTGGCTGGGTGTAATATAGTCCTCAGAAGTAATATGTGATTAAATATTTTAACAAATAATCAAATTATAAGTTAAAAAAACACAATTTCCTTATATTGTGATGCTGATGTGTACAAATCAGATCATTAAAACAAATCTTTATTAAGAATCTCTCTCTCTCTCTCTCTCTCTCTCTCTCTTTCTCTCTCACTCTCTCTCTTTCTCTCTCACTCTCTCTCTTTCTCTCTCTAAACACACTGTGACCTCTTTGCTCATAAGCAGAAATTTAGCCCTTAGACGTAGCTATGGTTTGGATGTTTCATATTTTTATTGATACGTGATACATCTAAAAGAGTCCCGTGACACAGCAGGTTTCAGACTGTAACCTTTTAATTTTCTCACCACACCGTCCCACCAGGGTGAGGCAGATTACCTTTCTCTCGATGTTAAACCACGTGTTTAATTTGATTCTTTGATTCTATGAGTTTCCAGTGATGTGACCCCTTATTTTCTTTATGTTTCGCTTCCAAGCAGCCAGACCATCTTGTAATTTTGAAGAGATCTTGAGCAGTAGTTCTGTTGTCTTTCTGGAAGTATTTTATTGGACATCAGCTACTGAGGAATGTGTTTGTGTATTTGTGTTTTTTTGTTTATGGATGTTTGACCACTTAATGCTGACCTGTGAATTATTCAAGTATTAAAGAGCCATCTAACTCAAGGGATAAACCAGTCTTTTGTCTACAGATAACTTATTAAAGAACCGATTAGAAATTGTATCTGTTGGCACTTTGTTACTAGGAGCCTCTTCTTTTATGCACGCAAACACCTATGTAGTCAATTTCTTTAGCTGAATCTACCAAGTCTTCAAATGAACACTAGTTATATCTCAGGAGAGTGCGCCATGTGTCTTTAACAAATCTGAAGAAGCTGGACATGTGAAGGTGTGTCATCTGTCAAAAACCCAAGGAAGTGAAACAAGGAAACAGTGCCGGTTCTGGCATCATTTGGCACTGCGTTTTAGCCAATGCTGTTGGAGATTTATGAACACAGATAAATAACATCGGATTCAGGGAATAGATGTAAGCCTTCCTCTTTCACTTCAGCTCCAAAAGTGAAAGAGCGATGCCCCCTGGTGTTTGTGGAAAGTAATGACCTCCTTTTAAAGAAAGCTCAGCTGAGATGTCCTTTCAGCTGAAAAACAGGAAAGGGGCAACTGGAGGAGGGCCACAGTGAGGCCAGACATTTCAAAATTAAAGTCAGTAGAAGTTCCCCACTTTGTGAAAACTTCATGTAAATAGTTTTACAATTCTGTTTTAGGGATTTCATAACCTGTGGTACGGTACATTAAGAGATTTAAATACTTGGTTAAGATCTTCAAGCTGCTGGAAGAGCACTGAAAGTAGATGACTGTGATCTTAGGGACACTTCTGAAAACCACTGTCAGTGTCAAGTGGAAATGAAGCTCCTTTAGACGAAGAAAAAAAGAAAGAAAACCAAAACAAACATGATCCACTTTACTGAGAAAAGGTAAAAAACTATCCTGGGATTTCACAAGTCACAATTTGATATTACTTGTTGGAAATTAGTATTTATTACAGGACAGCAGTCATCCAACTTGTTATTGGTGGGTAGTTAATGCTAAAGTGGTCTGCTTATAAAGTCTGTGCATGTAACTCCTGAAAACAAATGTATTTTGAAATAGTCACAGCCACTGAAGTGAGATGTATTTACAGTTTTTTTAGTTATAACAAGGAAACACGACCAGCTGATTGTGTGATGTGCAACAGAACGGCCGTGATTATCCCCACTATTAAAATTAAGTTTTGAACATGCTGTCAAAGAATTCTCATAGTCAAAGTTCAGTTGATAAGTGTGATCACATTTCAGTTTAATCATTGTGACTCAGCAATAACAGCAACAAGAAAAGATATGATGACTATTCACACCAGGTGTTAAGGAGTTAAACACTATAATCAAAACAAATTTTCTCACGCTACAAAATATTTTCACAGACGTTTTAATGTTCATTGCTCCTCTGTTGCAAAAAGAGCAACAGCTAAATTCATTTTGAATCAGTAGATAGTCTGCGGTCCTTCCCATCGTGAATAGTCTTACTTGTAATATATTTCCCTGGAGTGGTGCAGATGGTTCATAGTACTTTTTGAACTCTGTCACATCCTGTAAGGCAAAGGAAACACTGAACATCTGCTTTAAGCTGCAATGCGTCAGGTACAAAGTTGAATTTGGACTGTTTATTAGAGCAGAGCACAGATAAAGAGAACTGCAGGTGAGCTAATGCTTATTTACTTTTCTAAATTACATAAGGCTAAATACATAATTTACAGTCTGTTAAATTTGACTTAAAGCAAATCTTATGGTGACCCTTAAACTCTGTAATTGAACAATAAAACTGTTGGCACCTCATATCATAATAGTGTTGGCCTTTCATCGCTATGTTCATGTGTGTGTTGTGCACTTGAAATTTTATGTTAATAACCTTTTTCTACACAAACAATCAAAGTGACATCAAACAATATGAATGAAGGTGTTAGATACTTTTTGATTAATAGTTCTGTTTTCATTTAACGGATAATCTATAGTCATATTGCACATATCCTCTAATGAAATCTACGGCTTTGTAGGTCAGATAACAAGCTGTATAAATGGGATCTTCCAGCTGAATTCCAGCTTTTTCACCAGTTGAATAAAGTGTAGTAGCGAATTGGTGATCTCCTGAAGGCAGACTTCCTCGGTTAAATATTATCTGCCCCTACCAGTCTACGTTGCAAATGCAGCCATAAAAGTAAGTAGTACCCCACGTGACTGCATCCAGCTGAACATGGTGAACCAACTTAACTTAAACCAACTGTTCACGTTAGAAAATGATCAAAGAAAACGTGTGAAAAGCCTTTGTCTATGATCAGTGACGATCAATACCAAACTTAACTTGCAGACTGTGTTTGATTTTATCTTGTTTCCTGCTACAGTAGGCTACCTGCCACCACGAATAATATAATAATGTCCCACTTCCACGTAAACATATCTTTGCCCCATATTTAGTTTGCTGGGACATGACCACCGTTATATGTTTTAAATAAAGTTTGACTAAAGAGGGAAAAAAGTTAGTCTCCTTGGTGTACCTTCCTCCCGGTGTTTCCTGGACTGCGGAATCTGCACAACAGCTCTGTCTCCTTATTTGGAAGAAGAGGTTGACTGTTTTGGTAAAGAGCCACAATGATGGAGAACTGAGGATCACAATCAGTTAGCAGCTTTCTGTGCAGTGACCATTTTACTCAGAAAAAAAACTGACTTTTATTGGAGTAAGGTGAGATTCGCGGATCCGCTGTTACTGGTGAGCTACCTCCAAGGACCCCCTCCCCGACGTCTGCTGCAGTATGGTTACTGAGTTTAAGTTTTCTTCTTTTCTACACACATATGTATATTTAGTAAAATAGTCCTAGTCCACAGTAAACGTTTCATATTTAGATCAATATAGCTATAGGGAGATATTTATAAAAGGCTTTATGAAGGGTTCCAAATTGACGCCCCCGGGGGTACAGTTCAAATATCCATTTAATACTTTGCACGTACTAATCCTCCCATTAACCCTCGATGTAAGCGGCCCCAGTGGTATTTTCCAGTTTGCCTCCATATGCGGTATGTAATCAAGGCTTAACGGTATGGTTATGGGGTCTGCAGCCAGGCTTCTGGCTGACGTGCATACTGTCGACCAGCTCCCCCTAGCGTTTCAGAGTAGAGGATGCTCATTCTCTACAAAATAGAAAAACATGCATTCTTATACTTAATAATTCAGTTAATTAATTTGATAATTTAATTCATTTTTCACCATTAAATTTTGCCTGGATGGGCATAATGCGCTGTCTACACCGGCTCTCTATTACCCTTTACCCGCCCCTGTTGCTTGTCTTGTATTTCTACGGTGTATTGATAGTCATGTGCTTTTTGTATGCGCTGAGGTGTTTTGTTTTTCTGTTCTCAAACTGATCTCCCTGTTGGAGCTCAGTCTGGGGGGAGCTCTTTTTTCTCCTCGTCTTTCCTCATGTTGTGTATTTTCCATTGTTATACCTCTCTGACCTGTCTAACCCATGTGATGTTTGTGTAATGTATGTATGGTCGGAAGGGTAAGATGGCGCTGGCACGGCTGGCAGCCTTAACCCAATTTCCCTCGGGATGAATAAAGTATGATCAATCAATCAATCAATCAATCAAACATGCATTCTTCTGGTGTGAAGTGATGGTGATGGTGTGAAGATCAGAACCCATATTTATTTATACTTTACAGGAATGAAAATGGAAAAAAGGAATAAAATAAAATAGATCCAAACACAGAAACACACACACACACAGACTTTCTCCTTGAGTCAAACCTTATACTTTACTTTTAAAGGGCGTTTCCAATAACTTAGTAAGCTTTGTTTTCTGTAATGTGGCTACAAGGAACAAAGTGTTGTTGAATTTGCTCTGAATTGGTCTGTAGATGGTAAACAAACGCTGTTTTTCTTTCTTTTCTTTTTTTTAAAAAAAAAAAGATGGAGTCACTGTCACGACCTACACTATTTGACTTCCATGGAGTCTGCATGACCAATTACTTCACTGACAACTGGGAAAACGTCCAGAATTTCAGAGCAAGACCAGATGATATTGTCTTAGCTTCTTACCCTAAAGCAGGTAGGTTTTAAAAAACAAAAACAAAAAAAACACACACACACATTTTGTTCGCATCTTTGAGGAAGTACTTATGTTTTTTCTGTCAATTTTTTTAAATTCCTGAGGAAACACATGGGTGTCTTACATCCTGGACCTTTTGTACTTTGGCCAGACTTCACCTGAGCGTCAAGGCTCAGTCCCACTCCATGAACGAGTGCCATTCCTGGAGATACAAATGTCTGGTTACCCCTCAGGCAAGTTGTTTTAAAGGCTCACAGTGTGACAGGCATAATAAAGACACTCTGATAAACTCTAGACACTCTAATAAAGACACTTTATTAGGTACAGCTGCTGCTGTTCAGCTGTTTATTAACTCAAATATTTAATTAGTCAGTTGCATCACAGCTACTCAATGCATTTAGGCTTGTAGACGTGGCCAAGCATCAGAATTGGGGGGGGGGAGGCTGCGGGGGGGGGGGTTGATTTGTTGTGGTGCCGAGTGTTTATTGGTCAAGTATATTTGCAGACACATACAAATTGGTTCCGGTAGATGGTGGCTCTCAAGCACAGCAATGTAAATACTACACACACACACACACACACACACACACACACACACACACACAACACAATCACACACACACACACACACACACACACACACACACAACACACATACACAAAGCTGTGTAAACCAACTATAAATAACGAATCTAAACTTATATACATAAAATACAGAAATGAATGAGGTGGAATGAATACTACAAAATGTACATAAGGTGCAGCTGCAGTCTGGCAGTGGGAGCAGTGTGACAGGTCAACTGTTAAGAAGGGAGATGGCGAGGGGAAAGAAACTGTTCCTATGTCGGGTGGTCCTGGTCTGCAGGCTTCTGTACCGTCTGCCAGAGGGCAGCAGATCAAAAAGTCTGTGTCGCAGGGTGTGAGGGGTCTGTGATGATTTTCCCTGCCCGTTTCCTGGTTCTTGAGAGGTACAGATCCTGGATGGAGGGCAGGGGGGGCCGATGATCCTTTCTGCTGCCCGTACAGTCCGCTGCAGTCTGCTCCTGTCCTGTTTAGTGGCTGCTCCATACCAGACTGTGATGGAGGAGCACAGGACAGACTCAATGACCGCAGTGTAGAACTGGATCAGCAGCTCCTGTGGAAGACTGTACTTCCCCAGTTGTCTCAGGAAGTACATCCTCTGCTGGGTCTTTTTGAGGATGGAGTTGATGTTGGTCTCCCACTTCAGGTCCTGGGAGATGGTTGTACCCAGGAACTTGAAGATCTTCACAGTCGACACAGGGCTGTCTGATATGGTGAGGGGGAGCAGAGTTGAGGGATGTCTCCTGAAGTCCACTGTCATCTCTACAGTTTAAGAGTGTTCAGCTCCAGATTGTGCTGACTGCACCAGAGTACCAGCCGCTCAACTTCCTGCCGGTATGCAGACTCATCACCATCTTGAATGAGGCCAATGACAGTGGTGTCATCTGCAAACTTTAGGAGTTTGACAGCCGAGTTCTTGGAGGTGCAGTCGTTAGTGTAGAGGGAGAACAGTAGTGGTGAGAGGACACATCCTTGAGGGGCACCAATACTGAGGGACCGAGTTTCAGAGGTGATCTCCCCCAGCCTCACTTGTTGCTTTCTGTCTGTCAGGAAGCTGGTGATCCACTGACAGGTAGCTGGTGACACGCTGAGCTGGGAGAGTTTGGAGGAAAGAAGTTCAGGCACAATGGTGTTAAAAGCCGAACTAAAGTCCACAAACAGGACCCTGGCATAAGTTCCCGGGCGGTCAAGGTGTTGCAGGATGTAATGCAGCCCCATGTTCACTGCATCATCCACGACCTGTTTGCCCGGTAGGCAAACTGCAGAGGGTCCAGCTGGTGGCCTGTAATGTCTTTCAGATGGGCTAACACCAGTCGTTCGAAGGATTTCATGACCACAGACGTCAAGGCGACAGGTCTGTAGTCATTCAGTCCTGTGATGGTGGGTTTCTTGGGAACAGGGATGATGGTGGAGCGTTTGAAGCAGGAGGGAACTTCACACAGCTCCAGGGATCTGTTGAAGATGCGAGTAAAGATGGGAGCCAGCTGTTCGCCGGTCTTATTGGGAGGCAGTGAAGGGGGGAGAGGTGGAAGGTGTGTTGGGGGTCAATGTCTGAAGCAATGTCCCTGGGGAGGGGAGGGTGGGGCGTGGGAGTCTGTCCGTCTCAAACCTGCAATAGAAAGTGTTTAACTCGTTGGCCAGGTCTTTGTTTGCTTCAATAGTGGGTGGGGGGCGTCTGTAGCTGGTGATTTCCTGCAGGCCCCTCCACACTGACGCAGGGTCGTTGGCTGAGAGCCGTTCTTCCAGCTTCTGGGAGTAGATGCTTTTAGCTGCTTTGATCTCCTTGGTCAGTGTGTTCCTGGCTTGCTTGTACAGGCCCTGTCACCACTTCTGTAGGCGTCCTCCTTGGCCTTACGAAGATGTTGGAGTTTAGGAGTGAACCATGGTTTATTGTTGTTGTATGTGCAAAAGGTCTTTGTTGGCACACACACGTCTTCACAGAAACTGATGTATGATGTCACAGTGTCCGTGAGCTCATCTAGGTTCTCAGATGCAGCTTCAAAAACAGTCCAATCAGTGGAGTCAAAACAGTCCTGCAGTTCCTGCTTTGCTGCGTTAGTCCACTTCTTCACAGTTTTGACTACAGGCTTGGCACGTTTGAGTTTTTGCCTATAAACTGGAATAAGATGGACCATGCAGTGATCAGAATGTCCCAAAGCTGCCCGGGGCACAGAGCGATAGGCATCTTTTAGAGTGGTGTAGCAGTGATCCAGTATGATGTTGTCCCTGGTGGGGCAGTCTATATGCTGTCTGTATTTAGGGAGTTCGTAGTTTAGGTTTGCTCTGTTAAAATCCCCAAGAATAATTGTAAAGGAATCCGGGAATTTCCTCTCCAGGGTAGTAATCTGGTCAGCCAGCTCGCACAGTGCGTTGTTCGCGTTGGCCTGTGGAGGGATGTAAACTCCGACCAGCATGAAGGAAGAAAACTCCCGCGGTGAATAAAAAGGTTTACAGTTGATGAAAAAACTTTCCAAGTGTGGGCTGCAGTGTTTCTGTAACACTGTGACATCAGTACATTAGTTATACGACTGAAATCACACAAAGAACTTAAAATCCTAGTAGATTTTTTTCTGTTTACTGACATGTTGAGTAAATTTTTATAATTTGAAATGCAAATATCAAATTGTACATTTTGTAAACATATACAACTATTTATCTAAAAATGCAGCCAATACACCTGCTGTTTTTTTTCATTTCTACAACCATTTAAAAATATTACTAAAACTAAAATGAGAGAACAATCAGGTGTTGCAATAAGATGCCCCACAAATGATGTGTGCCAGTAAAAAAAAGTTTGTCCACCAAAAGACAGAGCAGCAGCAGGGATAAACCTGCAGGCCTGACAACAGGAGGTGTATCACTCCGCTGGTTTTCTACTTAGGTGACAGTGTTTACAAATGTGTCTTTGTGACATTCATTAGTGCCCTCACCGACACACAAAACAAAACGACTACACAACAGAACACAACACACTAAGTATACACTCCACACTAAACATCACAAATCTCCCACATCTAAAATCTCTCACTCGCTAGCTCTGTCGTTACCGTCACTCCCAAAACTTTCCCCTCTTCCTAAACAACCAAATCCCACGTGTTGACTTTTTTTTAATTACATGGTACATTTTTCCACTGATGGGAAAGAGGTGGCTTTTCCCCTTTCTTTACTGTTTTCGCGCTGTCCTTACAAAACGCGTAAAACACTCTTACACACACACACACACACACACACACACACACACACACACAAAAACGTGACGACAGTATTTAGAAAAGAGCGTGGCTTATATATATTATCATAACTCTGTATTTACTGGCCTGTAATTAAAATTTAAAAACATTGCATTGAAGTCTGAACTTTCAATTTGGGCTGAAACAGAGGCTCAGCATGGCTGCAGCTTGTTGCTATGTCAGCTTAAAATAGTCATGTGATTTGGAGGTGCAGCGTGTCCGTGGACCACGGAGGGTTAATAACACTCACCTTCCTTCCATTTCCAGAGTGTAACATCCAACCACCTGTGTAAAAAGCGAAATTCCCATGGTGTTGTTCAAAATGTGCTCTGGCACAATCATAAGCATGCTTGCTACTGAAAACAAGAAAAAAGCCAGTCCTGCTATGGGCTGATCCATTTGTTAATGGTGGAGGGGGGAACACTATGGAATATATTCAGTTTTAGCATTTATATTCACTGTTGACTGTAACTATGCTCAAAGTGTTAATGCTATCTTATTTTATTAAACAACACTGTCATATGCAAAAATGGGGTGGCACTTGGGGTGGCAAGGGATCATTTTAGGGTGGCACTTGCCACCCCATGCCACCCTTCTAGATCCGCCCCTGACAACACATCCAACCCTGGAGCAGATGTGCTACAGGAGCACACCAAGTATCTGTTATTTGACAGCTGTGTGCAGCCTTCACATAAATACACAGATGGAGCAATCAGGGAATGGGTAACAGGAGGGAAACACAGCTGGGGCAAATCAGGCCTAACGAGACAAAGGAAGCAAAATCAGACGCATATACATGAGACAGACTTTCAAAGTAAAACAGGAAACATTACACAGAGACGCGAACTTGACAAGGGGATACAGCTGACAGGGGAGACAGAGCAACTAGAGAACACAGAGACATAAACCATAAGACAGAACTCTAACAAAGAAACCAAAGACTAGAAATGATAAATAATATAATAAACTCAAAAACCCTGGGTCAACGACCCAGGCATCCTAACAGTATCCCTCCATTTAGGAAACTAAGGCTACAGTTCAAACAGCTCACCAAAAGAGGTGATAAAATAGAAGACTGCGGAAATGTTACCTGGTCTCATAACGCTTGATTTCTTCTGCAATGGTATGAGGGATATTTTCTTGAAACACTTTGGAATGGTTACCAATCATATTTAACACCAAAGCTTACCTGAGTATTTTTTTTGTTGTTTTTTGTCTATGTCCAAAGTTTACCCATCTTCTGATGGCTACTGTCATGAAGCTCAGATCATATAAAACTAGTTTCTTGACCATGAAGGCCTAAGATTAGGCCTTCACAGTCACCAGTACGCAGTCTAATAGAGCACCTTTGGGATGTATTAATATGGACCAAAATCTCTGAGGAATCTTTCTAGTACCTCGTTGAATCTGTATCATGAATAATTAGACAGTTGACAGCAAACTAGGCTCTAACCTAATAATAGTAAAGTGTATCTGGCAAAGTAACTGGTGATTGTAATATTGGTGATATAGATCAATGTCATTGTGGCGTTCCGCTAACATAATGATCTCTTTTACTAGGAGTGGATGTGCTGAATGAATTAACCACCTTTCCACGCATTATCAAGACACACCTACCAGTTCAGTTCCTTCCCAAATCATTCTGGGAGCAGAACTCCAAGGTACATGGCTCACAAGTAAGCTATTGGTACGATTCACAGAGACAATCTTCTCAGTGTTTGTTTCTCATTCCTTTCCGGTTTTAGATAATCTATGTGGCTCGTAATGCCAAGGACAGTGCCGTATCCTATTTCCACTTTGATCGCATGAACAAGGTCCAGCCAGAGCCTGGCAGCTGGGAGAGTTTCCTCCAGAGATTCATGGAGGGAAAAAGTGAGTGACAAACCATAAGCATGAATGACTGAATACATTAAATGCGAAGGGTTATTTTATCACTTATGATTTGTCTTCTGGCATCTGTCAGTGGTGTTTGGCTCCTGGTACGAACATGTAAGAGGATGGTGGGAGAAGAAACAGACCTGTTCTAATATCCTGTATTTGTTCTATGAGGACCTGATTGAGGTGAGTGTTGAAGTTACTGTCTGTGAGGCTGTGGACATAAACACATAATAAGGGGTTGTGGGTTTGTTTTTTTGTTTTATTTTTGCAGGATACTGAACAAGAACTCGTCCGCATCTGCTCATTCCTGGGACTGTCTCCTACCACAGAGCTGAAGAAACAAGTCACAGAAAAAGTTCAATTTGACAACATGAAGAACAACAAGATGGTGAATGGCTCCGCTGATGAAGTCTTCGATTTAAAAATCTCCCCCTTCATGCGCAAAGGTCGGGTACATTCGCCTGTAAGTTTGTTTACTGAAAGGTGAAGGAGGAGATGTTAACTTTGCTCCTAATTTCTCTATTTTCAGGAAGGGTTGGCGACTGGAATAATCACTTCACTGTACAGCAGGATGAACAGTTTAATGAGGACTACAAGAAGAAGATGAAAAACACTGATCTTCAATTTCGTACTGTTCTGTAGGTGATTATACAGAAGAGTATAACAGTATATCTGCCACTGTGTTAGATATGCAAGTAAAAATAAAGAAAAACATGATAACAAAGGTGGGTTTGAGTTTTATCATTTTTATTTAAATTCAAACAAAAAATGCAGCAAGAAATACAAGAACAAAAGTTCAGTGAGCAAAGTAAACAGATGACGCTAACACTGCACTTCTGCAAAATGGCTAAAGACCAAAAGGGGCACATTTTCTACAGGACTTACTGCTCCGTAGGACAACACTACAGTTGCTGGAGGAACCACGGCTGCCATGAAGTAAAATAGGTAATGGCGGTAATGGTGAGAGCTGATACGGTAAAATTATACAGGTTCACTGGAATGTAGACAGCAACAAAAGGCCATTGTACTGTAAATACTATATACGTCAAGCGTCTCACATCACTGGGAGGTGCTGCAAGTCACCCTGAGGTAACCGGAAAACAAGTAAGGGACTGGCTCTAATCAGGAACAGAGGCATGAGTAACTATGTTTCTTCCCAAATAATGCAAAACAAAATGTCACTTTATCCTCACATATTCAAAACAACATTCAAAGACTGAATCACAATGATAAATCTGTAAGTTTCATTTATAATAAAGTATATCTCAAGTTGGAGCAAAACCGTTCAAGTTTCAGAGGGAACCACTGGGCTATCTTTTGGGATCAGAAACAGTTAAAATGAATTAATGGATGAAATATGGTTTCACCAAAATGTTGTTTTTGTTTTGTTTGTTTGTTTTCCCCCCAATAATTTTGTCGCCGCTAACGACAGGAAAAGCTGAAATAAAAAAAAATCAAACCGATCCTGACCGTCAACTGTACACTTCGCTAAACCTCCATCTTTTTTTAATTCTGAGCATAGCCCAAAAAGTCCTTAACATAACATCTGCAGTCAAGCATCAGCTGTCACAGCTCTGCATGTACTAAACAGGCCACAATCTGATGTCGAAATAGCAAAACTGTCTGCACAGCTCAGACGCATAAGCAATATCACTTAGATTGTCTTTCACAGTAACAACTATAACTGTTTCAAATACACCTTTATTCATGAAACATCAAAAATAACTATTTACATTGTTGCTTATACATCATAGATTTCAAAGATATTTTCCTTTTTAGTAATAAAATACTTCACTCTAGTGCTCAGGCTTGGGGTTAAGTGCTCCGTTATTGAGTCAGGCCTAACTATAGGAATTCTGAGGTTCATGCTAAGCCGGTCTTGTGTGCTGCAGCCCTGCAAAGCTATGAAGCATGTAATTAGATACCAAACATATTGAACTGAATGCAGCTTTTTATTGAGAGGCTTACATTAAGCATGGTTATTGATTGCAAAGCTCTGTCCTTTAACAAAATGCATCATAGTTGAGTTCCATATTTAAAGTCTGTCAATTTGATCAACAGCTAAAAACCTCAGGAACACATGTTAGCAGGTGTCTGCTCCGCAGCTGTGTCTCATCGCCTGCCTCTTTATGTAACCGGTTTTAAAATACAAGGCAAACTGGACAAGTACAATGATGGCAGCAGCAAGTTAAGAGCTTAGATGTAGTAATCTGCAGCTGAGTCACAATGCTAAGATGCTAGAGACCATTAACCCAAATAATGGGTTTATAAAACCATTAATAATAGCACAGAAACCAACTTTGATTATGTATGGCACAACTTTACATCACGAAGTGAAATATGAAAGACAGCAAATAAACTCTAGTAAAGGAATCGAACTGGTGAGCAATCATATGCAGTCATGTATTTTTCTTTTTGCAGAAACCATTTGAACAGGACACAAAGACACTTGGAGCATCATTTGTCTTTTACCCTTTAAACTTAACGGTGTTAAAGTAATGTTTCCAAGCAAGAACTTGAATATCTAAATCTACTTACTTTCTTGAAAGATTAAATTTATCAGCTTCACAAATCTGAAGCCAGTCACAAGCACGGACCTGCTAAAGAGCCATTCTCAGGAATTGTATGTAAGTGTGCTCTCAGTGTACTTGAAGTCATACCAGTGTTAAACAGACAAGAAAAAGATAGACAGATGGGAAAGTGAGCGTGCTGTTTGTCTATAAATTATGCTAATCAACAGCTAATCTGATCAACAAAGACAAAAGGCAGCTAGGTGACACCTTTTAAGTTTGTCACCCAGATCCTTGTTTTCATATTTTCACTCTTTTGACAAAAAGTATTATTACACAGTTTAATAATACTATTATCCCAATATTTGCAGCATCCCTGGTTAGGATTAGTTACTGTTAAATGAATGCGTTAGATGTGCAGTCATTTGGTCCTCATGTCCAAGGATAGGCTCATAGGTCAATAATCTCGCTGCTGACACTGGCAGAATCGTCATGTCGACTGACTTCCAGGTAACTGCGTGACCCCACTGGCCTCGCAGCTCTCCCTCGCACACTTTCAGAGTCTGGGGTGATAAACGGTCGTGTGTCGTCCACTCCATCGTCTCCCAAATGCCCCGTTGAGGTTCTGGAGGGACGGAGTGACACAGGACAGGACACTGATGAAGGGACACTTGTTGTCCCATTTCCAGCCCATCTGTGACCCTGGTGGGATGGCGTTGGGGGAGCAGTCACCTGCCTACTGGGTACACTACTGAGAATGCTTCCCCCCAGTGGCATGGAAGACTCTGTTGGAGCCTCGCTACTCTCTGAGAGCAACTGAGGATCACTGTTCCTGCGGAGCCAGGGCCCCTGACTGACCCCTGAGCCTGGGGAAGGGGACTGTAAGGTCTGGTTCAAAGGATGAAACAGGCTCCCTCCTTCAAGCAGGTGTTCTCTGTGCAGAGCCTCATCGATGCTGCGGGTCAGGTCGATGGGGGAGGGCGGCCGCAGGTCAAACTCATAGAAAGACAGGGAAGTATCCCTATCCTGATCCAGGCTGCCACTCACCGAGCGCTGTGGAGGCTGGCCAAACGTCTGCAGTCTTAGGAGGGAGCCAGTAGAGCCGTCAGATGTGCCTCGCTCTGCAGAGTGGCCCCTATGGTTCCGTCCCCGGTTGCTGTCTTTGACAAGTGGCTGTGAAACGGCCTGCTCATGGTTCTGATTTCTAATCAGACTCTTGCTGATATCAGCCCCAGGACGGTCCTGGCCAGCCCAGTTGTTAGGCACTTCTCCTACCCCTCCACCTCCTCCTCCTCCTACGCCATTACTGTCAGACTTCCTGCAGGGCTTACCCTTCAGGCTCTGGACTATCTTGGACCAGCAGGTATGTGTTTGAGGGGAGCCTGCAGAATCACTAGGGGATGCTAGGTCTCCTGCTGCTCTTCCATCCTGGCCACCTTCTTCCCTTCCACGGCAACTCTGAGGCCTCCAGAACACCCACGAGCTCAGGAGGAGCAGGGAGAACCCCCAGGCTAGTTCCAGGAGTCGGGCCCAGAAATGCACTAGCCACCATCCCCAGTTGAAGCGTGTCCAGTCACCTAACAGTCCATAAAGCCACAAGATAGCATGGGCATGCAATCCAAAACACAAAGCCCCAAGAACTGCACACACTGCCAGCACTCTTCCCAGAATCACTCCTATTCTCCTGCTCCCTGTCCAGGCCTTTCTCCGTACCTCTTCGGAAACTCCGGCTTGAGGAACAGCAGGGCAGCGTATACGTGGGAAGACATAGCAAAGAAAGCCCAGGCAGAGACTCAGACCCCAACACAGAGACAGGACTTGTAGGGTGACAGGCACCACAGGAGAGAGGGCTGGGGAGAGCAGATCAGCTGCCAGCAGCAGGGTACACTGCAACACAGTCAGCACAGCCACCAGAGGAGGCCGCTCCATGGTTGGCGGTAACGCACTTATTCCTGCCACCCTCAGTGCCAGCAGCGCCAGGGCAGCATGTGTCCATACCAGGAGGTGCAGAGGCAGGTTGTAGATGGCTGTAACTGCAGGGCGAGGGAGGAATTTTCGTGTGCCATAGGGATCAATGAGAAATAGAGCTGCTCTGAGGCCTCCAGCCAGAAACAGCAGAGCATTGGCCAGTGCAAGAGCACCACGATGAGGACAGTTTGCGCCAGGGGACAGTGTGAGGCCAAGAGCAGCTCCAGCAAACAGCAAGAGGAAGAGGCTTGCAGATCCGTAGACATGAAGTTCCCAGGCGAAAGCAAGTGTCCGGCTTAGATCACCCCAGTAAAGAAGTGTGGCATTAGGTGAGGAATTGGCACTGGGAGAGGGAGCTGGATCAGAAGTGGAATAAGGAGCTGAGTGAGGGTTCCCCCATAGCTGATGAGAGTGGTTCTTCTGAATAATACCATTCTGATATGTGGGACGAAACCGTGTTTGGATGGCTGGTACAACACTCGCTGTAAGACTGGAAGAGACCCCTAGAAAAAAAAAGAAGAACAGTGTTTTGATTTTCAAATGCTGAAATGCACAAAATATGCTATATTGTTCTGAAGTGATATTAATACAGATGTAGAACCTTTGACAACCACTAGAGGGGTTTAGTTCACCATCACAGTCATGAGCTAGACAGCTGAGACCTTTCAGTTGTGCAGAGTAACCTAATCAGCTCTGCAGAGGTGCATTGTCCAAGGTCTATCTACTCAAATACGCCAAACTGTGAAATCAAATCAACTTTATTTTCCAGGCTCCAGATCATAAAAACTGCTTGTTTAGAATCACCATCCAATATAATAAAAAAGTCCTGGGTGTTCTACCTCTATTCAAATCTTGGCTGTTGTGGAGATCTCCTAAAATCAGGATCTTTTGAGCGCCACGTTTCTCTCTTCAAAATCTCTGAAATCACTTCCTCAGCTGCTTATCCAATTCAGGGTCACCAGAAGGTGAGGAGCAACATCGCCTGTGCACCATTGCATTAGCATCAGTTTTCGTGTCACTCTCATCTCTCTTTTCACTACCATCAGATGTATAACTGTTTCTAAGTATGGAAATAACAAAGTGTTCATGTATAAAAACAGAAGTCTAGAGACTGCATATGGCTTCCTAAAAATGCACATAAATATGGAATCCAAAGACAAGGCACCTCTTCTAAAACCAGTTTTAAAGATGAAATGTCAATCACCCAAAAACCCTAATATTCTATGCGAACAGCACTGCAAGCCGATCCTCTTGCTTATATTATAAATGTATCTGACTAACAAAAGAGCTCCTCCGAATAACCGGGAAGCAATTGTCTGACTTAATTGGATTAGATTATGTAATTAACAAGGACATCTGTGTTATGCAACTCAGTGATGTGTCACAATACATGTATGATCCAGGGAAACTGCTGTTCACATTTAAAGTATTATACAATGCAAAATGACCTAATGAGACAAGACATCTTGGCAATATAACATCTCTGTCTGTGTTTCTCTTTCTCTCTTTAATATTGTCATGTTCACACGCACTCTGTTTGTTCAAAGCACTCCACCTTTTCCTCCTGGAATGACTCTGAAACACACAACAACATTACCAAAGGTTCATTCATCGCCGAGGTCTTTGGAAGCCACTTAAGTACATATATCACAGTAACAATACTACCATGTGTAACAATTTAGAAATAATTTAAGAAAGACAGCAAACATACACAATATGTGGAGTTGTTTCACACACATTTAAATCTGATGGATGGTGGAACGATACAATCAGCGGTAAAACACTCAAACCATCAACTGCTTGGAAGACTTTAAGCTCGCCCTCACCCTGTAGAAGACAACCATAAAACTGCCACACTAAATAATGACTTACTCCTCTCCCTCGCTGCCTCATTTTATCACGCACGCAGACACCACACACACAAAAATGCTTTGCATACTTGAGCATTGCATGCAGATCACAGGCACACTTCTTTATTTATACAAAAGCTATGTTTTACTTTCCTCTAGTTTTTTTTTCTAACAGGAGCGAGATCCAGACACATTCCAGATGTTGTGATCACATTACACAGCTGGATACATTTAAACCTACCCCTGCCCTTGAGGGTTTTTTTCCTCTTTCACATATGCACTGCCAACACGGCTTCATATGTCCACATGTTGAAATGAGGTGAAAAATAACTGGAGACCACCATGTGATTGGATAACGCAGGCCAAGAAGTCTGTGAGTTCTCGGACCACACCCACCTTTGGGAATATTTTATGTTTGAACACCGGATAAAGATACCTCGTATAAGGAAGATACAGATACGTTAGAAATTAAAAAGAATCTATGGCAAGGAGTTTTGTTTTGTTTTTTTAATTTCAAGCACACACTTATGAAGTTTTTTTTGCATCTTGCACTACTGAAAATCTACTGTGCTGACAAAATCAGTCCCCAGTCAGGTATGTAGACACAAAGAACACAAATAATCGTTGTGGTAGTTCCTGTTTCAGTAAGCACTTCAGGAACTACTTGATAATATATACAGCGTACCTAAAATTAATGCTTTGGTATGACAAATCTGCCTAAATTTATCATCACATGACTCACATGTGAAAAAAAGGCATACTTCCAAACACAACTATGGGAAAAGGAGTGGCTGCAAAACAGTGAACACAACATTTTTATCATCATTTCAGATCAGTTTTCTCCAGTAAACTAAAAAAGTCTTAAAATCTATTTTACTTTTAATCCTTTTTGCAAGTAAATGGGAGAAGGATTCTCACTTCAGTCTTCCCTTTCTCCACCTGAGAGACGGAGTTTGATGGAGTTTCGATAATCACTAGAAACCCAGTTATGGTGAAGTTTTCATTTACGCACTTGTGCTGTAGCCTAACTAGCCAATTTCCTTCGAGGAGCTTCCCAGTGTGTGTGTGTACATAACTGTAAGCATGTTCATTATGGTAGTTAACGTTACTGTTTGATATACGGATGGGTTTTGAGTCTGAGTGCATCGTTGTTTGTGCTCATCAGGTTATCTCTGCAGGTCTAATGTACGTGCACGAACTGAGGGTCATATGATAGAACTAGCCAGTGTTCTGCTTTTTATTATGAGCGCAGCAGCTGCTACCGCTGTCATGACTGAGTATGAAAGAGCAAAACAGACCTCGGACCCTTGCCCATTATGTCACGGTTAAGGAGCGGCCAAATGGCTTTGGCTGAACCAACGTAAGCTAATGTTGAAAAGAAAAAGAGTTGGCTCATGCTTACAGAACAAAAACCTGAGTGCGCTTCCTTTAAAGGTGCTCTGAAGGAGAGTCCTGCTGTTTAAAAGTCATAATGATGTTATTCTTACGGTATCTAAGAGACTGGGTCATGTGTCCCACGTGTCAAGCTTTTCCTTTTCCATTTACTTTTCCTCATCTCCTCTCCCTTCATCCCCTTTCCTCTCTGCATCTGGTTTTCATTGCCATCTCCACTCCCTGCATTTCCTATGCCAGTACCTTTCTTCTGCTTTCACCCACACCGTCTACTCTCTCATCGGTATTTCCAATAGTCTCTTTTTTAGGCCCTTGCCCCCCCCCCC